GCCCACAGGGGAGGGTGAACTGCAATGCAGATTACGGGTAATGACATATTCGTTACCCTTAGGATAACCTAGGTCACTTTGCAAATCTTATTATGTCTTGGCTGGGGAAACGCTATATTGATAAAACGTTCCCTCCTTCCTCAGGTGTAAAAGTGGCTCAGGGTGGAATTAAGGGTGGAGCAGCACCAAATTGGAATGGCAGCCTTATCCATCTCCCCAGCTGGAGCAATTGCTGGAAACAGCGCCAAAACAGGCACCATTGTCCCAAGAAGGACCAGAGATACTATCTTCTTAAGATTTGTAAATCCTTTTGAAAGATTTTTAAAAGGTTTTCATTAAAGAAATACTTTTTCTGAAACTGAGAAACATCACTTTCAAATGAAATATCAAGGAACATAGATAGCTCCCTATCCCACAATTTCCATGTGAAGGTGGGATCCAAACTTCAGTGAGCACCTAGCTTTAAGTTGCAAAATTATCTCCTCCTGCATTAACTTCAGAAGCTTGTTTTTTATTTGAATTTAACCAATTATCAAAAAAAGAGAGTCTCACTAATTACCCAGCAAGTTTATGGCGCACTGTTTAGGACGAATAGGGCTGTCTAGACCTCTTTCTTCAAAGCTAATTATTATTTATCTAGATAACATGTATGCAAAAGTTAGCATATGCTTAGTTATATACAGGAACGACTTTTTGTGTCCCTTTGCAATCTCTCAGTGGATTGGCACTGTGCACATCACATTGTGATATGAGTAATAAAAGGGTTTCTTTTAATTCCCTTTTAGCTTTGTGGAGTGGTTTTTTTAGTTGGATACAATTTACCATTAATATTTCCTGAACACTTTTCTGAATTAAAACTGCAACATAAACATAAAATGTGCCCACCACTTCTAAATTAGAAGGGCTTTGAACACTAGATTCCTTCTTGAGCTTCCAGTCTGTAACCTGCAAGTCTGCAGCACAGAGCTTCACTGTCCCCACACCTGCACACAGTAAGTTCTCTGGGCCTCTTTGGTGTCTACTGTCCCTCCGGAGCATACTTAGACCAGATTCCTGGTGTTATCCTATGAGAGTGAATACACTCTCATAGGATAAAAATCAGTAGTTCTATCCTTTCTCTGAATGCATCTCACATCTTTAGCGCTGAAATGGGCTCAGAGACCATGGGGCTCAGACACAAATGGGAACAAGATAACGTGCACTGGGTTGGACACATAAACTCCATTTCTGCATTTTGTTTTGCCCAAATGCCAGGAACTGCGCAGTGAGTGCTACTGAATCCAGGCCTCTCTAGAGACCTAAATCTGCAGCTCTGAACTCTGAATCAAAGTCTGAGAGTCCTCAGGAAGCATTAGAGCTCATTCCAAAA